GGCTCCAACCGCCCGCCCCGCGCCCAAGGGCCCCCACGCCAGGGCTGACCCCACGCACCACGCGCTCAGAAACCCCTTCAGACCCCGGCAGCAGCACGCAGGGCCGTGCCCCCACCCCCCGCAATGGGAAAACACAAAGGGGAAGTTGATAGAAAACCCCAGAACGTGCAAGTTAAAAAAAAAATGCAAAGTTTCCACTGAAGCTCCTTCCCTCCCTTCCCCTTGAATGCAGCTTCTCCTTGCACCCAGCAGAAGGTTAGGGTCCTCCTTCCCCTTTCTGGGTGCTCGCCCCGGTGGGTGGGGGGGCCACGAGGCCGGTCGAGACCCCTCTCAGTGTGCTCGGGCCCAGGGTCCGGGGACTGCAGGCACACGGGACACGCCACAATTTCTCACCACAAGCACCGGTTCGGTGCAAACCCCCTTCCCCACCTGCGCGCTCACCCTGCGGCCCGACGGCGGAATTCTCTTCGACTTTGATTGCAAAGCACCCAGAGACGGAGCAGAATCCTTTCGCCGCCAAGATCAAGGGGTGCGCAGGTGCTCTGACCCTGTAATCTGCTCTATCCTACGCTCCGGAATTAGCACAGGGGTTTTAGAGCCCTGAAAATCATCACCCGACAGTTCCCACGAAGGTGGCAGCACCCTCGCAACGCAGCCCCGGAGCACTCCCAGCCCCGAGAAGAGGCACGAGCCCAGGCGTCGTGCTGCGCCTGGTCTGGCAGAGCCTCCCTCCTGTTATTCAATTTAAATCGAGAGCAAAATAATCCCCAGATCTCCCGCCGCGGTGCAAGTTTTCCATCTCGGTGACACATTTTTTTCCTCCCCTGTATTCCACCTTTTGAAGTTATTTGATACCGAACAGATTGCAAGAGGCTGGGGTTTAATTCAGGAGAGGCTGCTTGGATGCTTCCTGATAAAAATAGATTTTTTTTTTTTTTTTCTTCTGGAGGAGCCGGGTAAGGAGCTCTGGGATGGCGAGGGGCGGGCTGCGTCCTCCAGAAACAACGTGCAGCTGGTCACTGGCATCCAGAGCCCCCCCCCCAGTCACTCCTGAAGGAATGGGCCGATGGGCAGGAGAAACCCCAAAAGAATCCTGCTGGAATTTCACCTGCAGCGGGAAAACTAACAGGTGCTGCCTATAAAAAGGGCCTGGAATCTGCAGCTCAGGGGAAGAGAAGACTCAGGGGGAGCTGCCGGGAGCCGTGCACATCCCAGAGCGGCGCGGGGAGGGTTATAGTAAAGGCTGTATTTTCCATCCATGACATCAGAGGAAGCCTCGGATCACACGCAGCCACCATTTGCGAGCGTCCCTCCTACAGCATGAGCAGAAATTCAGCTCAAAAGCCCCACAACCAGATTTCCTCTTTAGAGGAGGCTCTGGGAAGCGCAGCTCCGGCAAGAGGGTTCTGCCCAGCACAGATTTTGCAACAGGGCTTCCCAGCACCTCGCTCCTCTTTGCCCTACAGAAGATCTCCTGCAGGAGCTTCCCTTTTCCCCTCTGCCTCGGCAGAAGCGCTGTCGGAGCAGCCGCCCCCCGGCAGCCTGGGCCAGCTCTTCTGGAGTTTAGGCTGAGTTTGAGCTGTGGCCCAGGAGGATTCACCGCGTACGGGGAAAAATAAAATCCGCACGCTCGCACCTGAAACCAGGGACACAAAACCACCTCGCAACCCAGAGCTTTCTGCCCCAGGACGGACCTTTTCCTATGGCTGGCTTGGAAGAAAACGGGGTTCTTCCTCCAAGGCCACGTTTAATCAAACTCAAGAGCTTTGCTTGAGCCATTCTCTCGCGGCAGGAAATCGCAGCGGTTCACTGAGAAGCTGCGCTTGCCGCCAAAGCCTTCTTGGCTTTCAGCAACCGGGAGTTTTCAGCTTGGGGCCAACACTTCTCAGTTGTGATCAGGCAACTGAAAGCAAGGAGTGTTGTGCTGAAAGCATTTGCTTTCTGCTCAAGTTTGAGCTCAACTCTCCGCCCCAGTAAAGCTCCGACGGCGAGGATTCCCAATGGGCCCAACAGCGAGCGGTTGCCCCCCCGACACGGGACGATGTTTCACCCGTGTGGGAGCCCGGGCTGGGCTATTTGGAGCAGGATCCAGCTGGGAGGTGTGAAATTTGGACAGACCAGGCAAAAAACTCAGCAACAAGATGCTCCTGAAGGTGCATCGCTGTCGCCCCAGGAGGTTTGCACAAAAAAGCCCCGTCTCTCCCCGGAGGCGCAGGCGAGAGAGAGATTCCTTAGCAAATCTCACCCGAGACAAACGGCATCGAAACGGAACATCCTAGAAAGGAAATATCCTTGAAAGCAGCAGCCACCACAGGGCTTCGTTCCTGGTGGGGCGAGAAACTTCCCACTGCCAGCGAGGGAAGGGAACCGGCCGGGGAGCGGCGCACGCTCTGATCGTCCCTTTGCGTGCGGCATCCCCCGGCTTCTCGAAGGGACCGGAGGAGCCACAAGCCGCGGGGAGGTTTTGGGGGGGTCGGGAGCTGGTGCCCAAGGGACTCAGGGCCGGGCTGGGGGGCGGAAGGTGCCTGGGAGGATGGCGCAAACCCACCGCTCCGCGGCTCAACAGTTGGGCAGAGCTGGTAGAGCTGCACGGCGGCAGGGGAAGGGCAAGGGGGGGAGCAAGAAAAACAAGTTCCTGGCGGAGAAGGCAGGCAGAGCCCCCCCCCGGTGCCCGCTCTGCCATCTTTCCCCATCTCCTGGCGGCCTCCGAGCGGGAATTTGGGCCGTTTGCAGAGATTTGCCTCTCACATAGCTGGCAAGGGGGTGGTAGCGAATGGGTGGAAACAACATGCCTCTTCACGTCCCTGCCCGATTTCCTCGTCTTGCTGGGAAGGGGAATGTCTGCCTTGAAGTTTGATTTTTGGAGGAGCCAGGATTCCC